TGATGATGATTAAAACGTGTTTAAATGAAACCTATAGTAAAGTCTGTGTAAGTAAACATGTTACTGCATGCCCACTGAGCCCTATTTCTAAAGTATCGTATTTATCACTACTTTGCTTTCCTAAACTCAGGTAAAACTTAAGTGGCAATCAAGAGGGCCCAAAGGATGGTAATTCTTTATTTGCTGTCCTATTTTATCTTAGTGGTCTAGTGGTTAGCGTACTAGCCTAGAGTTCTGAAGGTTCCAGGTTCAAACCCAACAATTGTGACTAGTAAAATTTTTACACCGCCTCTGTGATCTAGTTGTCAGAGTTCTGGCTACAGATCCTGAGGTCCCGGGTTCGATTCCCGGCGCTACAAGATTTTCTGAGAAGTGGTGGGTCTAGAATGGGGTTCACTCAGCCTCGGGAGGATAACTGAGGAGCTACTTCAAGGAAATAGCGGCTCCGGTCTAGAAACCCGAGATCTGTTGCGCTGACTACATGACACCCTCTATCCAAAAAAGTTGGCACTAACTTCGCTGACAAGTGGCAGTCGCTCAGTCAATATAGTTCGATTGCGGACTACAAGACATGGAGTTTGTTTTTTAGTTTTTCTTTTTCCTATTTTTATAAACCCCCCAGTAGACCATCAGACTTGTATGATGAATCCTAGATATGATACACAATGACTACTGACTTCACTATAACACATTAGAGTGGACACAGTTCCTTCTCTTTTTATGGTCTATTTTCACCCACATTGTTCTACACAAAAGCTGCATTCTTCGTGCTGGAAAACGTTATTCATATTATTCCAGTGTCTCAACAACACTCACTGAATACAGAGTTATTCACTAACCTTTCCCTCACTTTATCACATAAAGTAAAGTAAAGGTATCCCTGTAACCGGGTGTGGAGGACCATAGGGTTGTGAGATGTTGAGGTTCCCATATTTTCTAGACAGTTGGCTCATAGATGGTGGCAAGGCTGTCAGCCCTACATGCCAGCCGCCCTTTACCCCAAAGAATATTCCAATAATATTTCTGGTACTCATTTCTGTTAGAGGCTGAGTTGACCCCAGGGCCATAGTGCGGCTGAAAGGATTAGGTCAACTGAAAAAAAATCCAATGACCTCATCGGGACATGAACCAATGACCTTCCGGCTTGTAGCATAGTGCCTCAACCAACTACCCTACTGCGAACCCCCCACTTTATCACATTTTTACTGTAAATTATAAATGTTATCAAACAAAGATTAAAATCTACTTTGATCCTATACCTGCTATCTCTTCTGGAGTTTGATTGGCTCTCCTATCCCTTGCCTTTTGAGCTTCTAGGAGTCTTTGCCGTTTTTTCGTTTCCTCCAACTTTTCCTTCTGCTTTTCACCTTTTGACTGCAATCCATTTAGTAGCACTTTCTTTGTCCTAGGCATTGGATCAGGTTCAGGCTACTTCCTTCTTCTCATTGTACTACAATACACTGAAAGAGAAACAGAGTGATTTAGGTTAACACATTCAGGACCGGAGAGGCCAATTGGCCCTCTACCTTTCTATAGCGTTGCGGGCCAATTGGCCCTTTTCTGATGCGTTATGTTGCAACCGATTATATCTCGCCGTGTGGCCATGTTGCATCATAACTACTGTGTAGTTGACCTCGGGAATGTTTGCTAGCTTAGCCAGTAACATGATCACGCTCATTTCCTGTCACACCCTAAAGAAAAACAACCTGTCCGCAATGTGTTAACACACCAGCAACGTACATGCAGAAGGTGACCAACCTGATTCTCAGTCAGGTCCCTAGTTACCTTGACAGTCTTTTTTTCTGTCACTCAAGGCTAATTCTGGTATATTACCTCTAAGTATACCATGATCACCTCCTTTCAAATTCTTACCTATCCACATTTCACAATGATCTTCGCATGTCATATGATCTTTGCTTTTGGAATAACTTAAGAATCAAATCTGTATTTCAGCGCCCCGTTGCAAATCTTTTAATTAAACGTCTATGTATTCACAGTCCGTCAATAATGCAACAATTGTTTATTCACCATTTAACACTTAACACAACATGTTTCGGAAACAGATGGCCATCTTCGGGTGTCTAATGCATCCAAACTGTTAAACTGCTCTGATGTCGGCTAAAACCACGCATTGCAGTCTACTTAAAAAAAACAATATACAAACATTCAGGCCTAACTAAGTATCATGTTCCTGATCTGTGTAGATACAGATGATCATGATCCATAGATCAAGGTGACACTATAACTCCCATAAAGCTGAATACTGATTTTGAGTCTATTAACACTTTGCGGACCAGCAATTTAAATATTTAAATCAACCTGGGGACCGGCACTTTTTAACCAACTACCCTAACTTGTGCACTGTTCAATTTAAAAATTAATATAAAATATTCTAATTAATTTTATGAACTAAAATTTTTGGAGAACACTGGAAACATTCCCCTTCTACCTGCACTATCGTCCGCGCTACTTTCATTTATATTGTCTGTAGCCACAATGGTTTGTTGTCCTCTGCCACTGCCACTGTCAAATCACTATCACTACACATCTCAGAAGGAATGTCAAATAGCTCACGTCAGATAGCACATCGGAGAACAAGTCAGATATTGCTTGGTTTTCAACCGCTTCTGTCCTTGACTCATTGCGCAACTAACTTCCTGCCTGGTACATAAGAGCTTGAAAGGTCAAAGATAATTTTCCTTTGGAAGGGGTATCCAAACAGCAAGATCAATTTACTGCCTACTAAGCAAATATTCCAGAATAATATTATGCAGTAGTCATTTTATTTGGGTGGCGCCAGAGAAAGGTATAATGTGTTACAATCTAACGTGTCCTAAAGTCATAAAAATATGCCACCGGTCCGCCACGTTTAAAAGTGCTGGGCATAAAAATATGCCACCAGTCCGCAAAGTGTTAAAGTAGCTCCTCAGTTATCCTCATGAAGCTGAGTGGACCCCATTCTAGACCCACTACTTTTCAGAAATCTGGTAGCATTGGGATTTGAACACGGGACCTCTGGTTCTGTAGGCACAAACACCGACCACTAGACAACAGAGGCGGTCTACTCACTGCCAATACAGAGGATATTGTGGACATATCATTTTTCACCAATAAAATGTGGTTTCATTTATCCAGTTAATGTCAACAGCCAAAACAGCCATGTTTGGTCAGCAACTAATCCAAACGAGATCAAGGATACACCATTACATGATCAGAAGGTTGGTGTGTGGTGTGCCATATTACAAAATCAGATAATCAACCCCACATCCTTCGGTGATGGTATCAACTCAGAATGTTATTATAAAGTGATTCTTTATCCATTCACTGGATATTTAAATGAGGATGAAATTAGCTGCAGCTCCTTCTCACAGGACAGTCCTACTGTATACATGGCTCATGTTTCCATGACACCACTGTGCGATGTGTTCTGATACAATAATTTCAAAGGACATTTGGCCACCATGGTCACCTGATCTCATACTCCTTAATTACTATCCTTAGGAATGAATGAAAGGTGTAGTGTACAAAGACAATCTTCACATTCTCCTTGGACTGAAGGAAGCCACTCCAAATTTCATCTGGAAAATCCCTCCAGTTGAATCATTGCATGGCTTTGAAAACAAGCTAAGATGTGTAGATGCATGTCTATAAGCATGTGGGGTCATTTCCAACATTTGTTGTATTAATGTACTAGGACTCTCACCATAAACGCCTGTGATACTGGCAGATCAAATCAAAAAAGATTCTGGAAAGAAACCAAAAATGGAATGGCTTGATATAACAACTATGGTTATGGGTGACTTGACAGCACTGGTATGGAAGGACGAAATTTAAACATGTTGACAAATATGAATTGTCCTCCAGCAGAAGGTAATTTCTCTTATGAATGTGGAAATGTTCTGAAACCAGCAATGGTCCAGCAGTGTAACAGTTACATGGGGTATGTGCACGACCCTCCATCAGCAGATGGATATGGAAATCAACAAAAATGCTATTTTTCCATTTCCTGGATCTCTTTTTTAACAGTTTTACCCTCCTCACCTCTTGTGGTTCAAAATTATCACATCAACATCCCATCTGGCATTTCTCATAGTGGCGGGTGGAGTCCAGCTGGGTCCACTTGGCATGTTGGCCACTGATTGGCCTATTGTACCTGCTCCGGGTGATTATGATCATGGAGAATTTGGTGGAATGAAGATTGACAGGGGAAACCTTAGTACTCGGAAAAAACCTGCCCCAGAGCCACTCTGTCCACCACAAATCCCACTTGACCAGACCCGGGCTCAAACCCGGGCCACTGTGGTGGAAAGCCAGCAACTAACTGCTTGAGCTGTGGCATGGCCTTTCCATCTGGCATTAGTCAGGAACATAATACAAGAGGTGTGAAGGTCTGAACCACAGACAAACCCACAGGGAAGACAAAGACCTTACACCAGCCCATTGACATCAACTGACAACTGATACAGGAAACAGCAGCCCTTGGAATGAAGATGAATTAGGTGTCACATGGGTTCCACAAAAAATAAATAAAAAAAAACAAGGACAAATTCACATGTCCACACTGCAATATGGGGTTGAGTTCTAGTCCCTGTTTCATGGTCTGCTATAAAAATTTCATTTATAAAGACTGCACTACATCACAATGGAATGAGAAGAACACATAAACATTAGTAAAAATACTCTCATAATATTTTTGCAACAATAAAGTACTAATAAAATATGAGGCTATTGGGGTATATATTTACCAAAGGGATGCGATGATAGATAATACTGAATTTTGTTTGTATATTTTTATATGGTGACCAGGTGTCCTAGTCACGTCATTAGGTTCTATTAGGTCTAGTAACCTGAAATGAAACCCAAATTTATGGACAGATTCCCAATGTCTCAAATCTGATGAACATTTTATAAAATATGAACCTAAATGATAATGGCTTGCATTCCTGCGGACGATTTTTTTATCAGACGGGACCCCGAGTATGAAAAATATCCACGTGATAAGAGTAAGAATAATAAGCCAAATCTGACCATTAATAAGCTCATTATTTACCCGTAAACTTTTCTTTGTTTACATTTCGCAACACGACGTTAAACATTTCAATCTAAGAATATCTTCTTAATGTAAATATTATGAATCTGGGGAAGTAAAACAGCAACTACACACCTACTGTACTGACCGTACTGACACATCCATCGTATCTACTGAAATGCATGTTCTGGCCTTCGCGTATATTATTAAAAGCATATATACATACAAAATAGGTCGACAGAAAATTATTTCATAACTTTTATTCCACATCTTTAGGTTCACTGATTACTCCTTGTGCCCTCACGTATCAAACACTAAAATTTATTTTAATATTTGAAGAATTAAAATACCACAAACCCTACATTTTTACCCTATCGAACTTCGCACATGCGAAACTGTGAAGAATTACTGAACGTAAAATTATATGAGGAAGTTATTTACTGCCATCTAAAACAAGAACGACAAATTAACGAAAGAACTGCCATTCACTGACATGGGGATTACAACTATTTGCGCCGATCTCATCTGCTCAGCCGATATAACATCCAGCATGGTTGAAAGTTTATTGTATCCTCACGAAGGGGGTGATCATTTTGTTCCCACGTCAACCAAATACATGTGCAGGGAGGAGGCAGAAGAATAACTAGCTACATGGAACCGAGTCCTTCTTTAGAAGCTGCCAGTCACTCAACTACTCGAGAATTTATCAACATTTTATGGAACCTGCAGGTTCATTGCCATGTTTACAAGAGACCTCCACTGGCCCCTATTCTGAGCCAGATCAGTCCAGTCTGTACTGTGCCATCCCATCTCTCTAAGATCCATTTTAATATTATCTACCCACCTATGTCTACATCTTCCTAGTGGTCTTGTTCCCTCTGGCTTTCCCACCAAAATTCCACATGCATTTCTCTTCTCCGTTCATGTTACATGGCTTTCCCATCTGAATTCTCCTTGACTTGAACATTCCAATTATACTTGGCAATGAGGACAAGTTATGAAGTTCTTTACTATGCAGCTTTCTCCAACCTCCAATCACATCATACCTTTTCAGTCCAAATATTCTTTTCAGCACAGTTCTCAAACACTCTCTGTCAATGTGCATATTTCAATTTTCACACTGTTAGCAAACAAGATGACAAAAAGCTCTGTACTAAATGGTAGCAAGCATTAGCCAAATTCAGTCTCCTCTTCTTTTCCTCCCAAATCAAACATTCATTTGTTACTGTCCTTCCCAAATATTTGTAATGTGCCACATTTTCAAGGATCTGTTTGTTAGCTGTCTGTAAGTCACGATTTTACACTGCATTCTGGCCACAAGACAACATATAATCAATTTTTTCTGCATTTACTCCCAAAACAGCCTTCTTACTACTGTCAATTAGAGTTTTTTTCTTTGTGGTATCTATGCTATATCCCAACAAATTTAAATCACCATAGACCTGCAGCTGATGTGTCCCATTTAACTTTAGTCCCACCTGATTTTCTTGAACCATCCTAATGGTATATTCCAAAGTAAAGTCAAAAACCAATGGCAATAAAATACCTCCTTGTTTTAGACCAATTTTTTTATCTAGCATCTAACATATGCAAAACTTTGATCAACAGTTGATCTGTTATGTCAAAACTCAAACTGATGATCCCCAAATAATTTTGTCCATGTATGGACTTATCCTTGACAAAAGAGTATTGGATAATAACAGCGATATGCTACAATAACGACTAAAGTTTTATCACTTTCTTTTTTGTAAATTCGTACAATAACATACTCCTTCCACTGCTCAGGCTATTTTTCCTTATTTAAAATAGATCTGAGTTTATGGATCTCAGAGTGTAATATTTCACCTCATGTTTGAATCAGGTCTACCACATCTTGACAAATACTTGGCAATTTGGACTTTTTCAACTTTGTAACAGCAATTTCATCCTCAGAAGTATTAGGCTGAGATACTAATGGCTGAGCTGTATGCATTTCTACCTGCCTAACATCACTAATCCTACATACATTCAATAGCTGAGAGAAGTAATTCTTCCATCTCTTCGAAATGTAATCTGCGAGGGGATCACCATTCGCATCCTTTACATGGTTATTTCTAGGTTGGTAACCCATCTTAACCTCAATTATTCCTCTATGTCTCTAATGTTCTTGTTCTTATTGTATTGTGAGCCCATTAATTCTGAATTTCAGATATTCCATCTTTTTTGTTCCTGAAATACTTAACATTGTTCAGATTATCACCATTCATTTGGGAGGTTTCCTTTCAGCTAATGGTTTTGAGCATCCTTCATCAAACAATGTGTTATGCTGCTTCAATTCATAATAACCTAGACTCCTTTTGGGAACAATTTTTATATTCTCTCTGACAGTTACCCGAAGTTCTATTAATATCTACATGATCATTAATATTTTCTGAAGCTGTAAACATATTTCAGATCTCAACCCGGTACATTCCTTACCCTCTATCTCATTAATTTCTTGAAACTGAACCTCTCCATATCAAATTTCTGTGTTGTTTACTTACTGTCAGACACTCCATAATATCTGCCACCACAAGATGAAGTTCAGTATCAGTCAGCTCCCCTAGAAGACCAGATATCAAATTCTGATTCTCTTTATGT